TGGAGGAGATGGAGGAGGAGGAGATGGAGGAGGAGATGGAGGAGAAGATGGAGGAGGAGGAGATGGGGGAGGAGATGGAGGAGATGAGGGAGGAGATGGAGGAGATGGAGGAGGAGATGGAGGAGGAGATGGAGGAGATGGAGGAGATGGAGGAGGAGATGGAGGAGAAGATGGAGGAGGAGATGGAGGAGGAGATGGACTGGGAGGAGGAGGAGAGGAAGGGGGACTGAGAGGAAAGGAGGGGGAGGGGGACTAGGAAGAGGGGAGGGGGCCTGGGACTGGTGCAGCCAAACTTCCCCTTGTCTCTAGTGGGATGTCACTGATGACCATTCAACACAACCAGCACCTCCATTTCCTGCTCAAAACCAAAGTTTCTTTTTTGTTACTTTCTGTCTTCCTAGAAGGTTTTGTCTAGTTGGCATATGAGTGAAAGCATGAGTTTCATAATTTAGAATTAACTTTAAATCCTAGATGGAGCAAGTTGCTGGGTCTGCTAGAAAATCTCTATGGCTCCCAAATGTTGTCCATTGGCTTTCACTGGGATTTGTAGATGACAGAAGCTACTGCCTTCTGCAAAGCCTCAAAACTTCCATGGGAAGCCAGCATTCAGAACCATAGAACATTTGAGATGGAAAGACATTAACACAGCCTAGCCCAGTGACCTCACTTACACGAGGAAAAGGGCTCTCGGAACAGAAGTGGCTGAACACCTAACTGTCAGACCGAAACCAGAATCTGGACTTACTTCCTCCTCAACTGGTATTTTTCCGGTAACACCTCACCAACACTCTCCTTTTGAAACTTTAAAATTTTTCTAGTTTGGGGGGCAGAGAATCTACATGTGTCCTGAGGTGAGATAACAAGATAGGGTGCTGGAAAGGTCTTATATTCAACAGGCTGTGTTATTTTAGTGACTACAGCCACAGTAAACAGGCTGTGGCTTAAGGTCACACACAGTCGATGTCCAGTCCCCCTGGTTTCGCCCATTTGCATCCACCCATCTCTTCCTGTTTTTGCGGTTTCTCCCGTCTTCCCTGCCACTGCCTTCCTATGTCCCTCTGTTCAGGCCTCTGGGTGTGCGTTCCCTGTGCACGTCCAACTCTGTCAGAGGCTCAGGATCTTTCTTCGTATTTTTTCTATCCTGGGGTCTTGTCTTCCTCAGTTTCCCTGGTTGGTTCTTCTGTGCCTTCTGCCCCCATCAGTGTCTCCATGTCTCCCTCTCAGCTTTTCCTTCCTTCTATTTTTATTCTGGCAGGTTCCCTTCCTAGCTCTTTCCCTCATTTTACCAGAGATCTAACGGTAAACACTTCTATTAAATGATTTTGATATCTGTTGCATTTGTAGTTTAGAGGTTACTATATTTTGTTATTAAAATGAACAAGTAGAGTATTTCCTTAAAAGACAGTTAAATTTCTGTTTGCCTCTCTGTGGACCTTAGTCATTTATTTCTTTGTGGCCAGTGATGCGCCTAAAGAATGGGGGGTGGGGGTCCTCCTTACTCTAGCTGACAGTCACTGAGACGGGACTCCGTGACCAGAGCGGGTCCCAGCAAACATGCAGTCTCAGACGCAAGAAAGTCGGGGGCGACACTATTCTTCCTTTCCACACATTCCTCAAAAATATTTTTAGCATTTGCTCTCCAATTTTTAAAAAATGTGTAAAACATTGAGTGGCGTGTGTTTGTGTTGTGTAATGTAATGTGATATGTAAACATGAACAACAAAATGGACAAAATGCACATATGTGCAGGCAGATGTGTGTTTACCTGAACACGGATGTGTAGGGAATGATCTGGAAGGACACAGCGGTCTTCTCGGTGCTTACTCTTCACTCTCACCATCAAGAGATGAGGCCTGTGTCCCCTGCCCTGGACACTGGTGGGCTCACGCCTCCCGAGGAGTCCTGTGCAGTGGAAACCAACACCACTTGTCACTGTGACCTGTAAACAAGTTCAAGTCTCTCATGTAAAACAAAATAAAATCTCCCTCTAGGAGGTGAAGCTTCTGATTTTCCTCTCCCATGATATCACTCAGGGTCTTGATTTAAGCAAGTGTTTCAGAATCTGATATAGTAGGAAAGGAAAGGAATTTACTGGGTGTAATCTGGAGGCAGGTCAGCCGATCCCACTGCTGTGACCACCATCTCCCTCCCTTGTAAGTTAAGTCCCGTGCCCGGCCTTTGGGACTCAGCAACCCGGAGGAGGCACACTGGCCAAGAGCAGATCACACGGCTGCTCTTTGGCCGCCCTAACAAAGCACCACAGACAACAGAGTTGAAACAGACACTTATTTTTCCACAGTTCTGGAAGCTGGAAGTCTGGGATCAAGGTGCTGTCAGGGGTGGTTTCTCCTAAGGCCTCTCTCCTCAGCATACAGATGGCCGTCTTTTCCATGTCCTCACATGGTCGACCCTCTGGGCATGTTTGTGTCTTAGGAGGTTTGTGTCTCTTCCTAGGAGGACACCAGTCTTATTGGATTAGGGCCCTCCTTAATGTCCTCATTTTAACTTAATTACTCCTTAAATACCCCATCTCCAAATACAGTCACATTCTGAGGTCCTGAAGGTTGGGACTTCTACATGTAAATTTGGGGGAGACAGAGTTTAGCCCATCACACTAGCTCGAGGTGGGAAAAGGGAGATCTAGCCCCTTTGGTTTCTACAGTGAAGGCCATCACCACTTTCTATTGAGGCTGCTCACAGAAGGGTCCCCCAGGAAGACCTAGGTGCTAGTACAAGGGCAGGGGCTCCTGGGCGGCCAGACACGGCTCCCTGCGCCCTCATAATAGAGATGCTTACACAGACTGGTAATTCATTAAAAACTCTTTTATTTCTACTCAGCCTTCAACCAAAAGTTAACAGCTTCTGTGTCCCAACCCTAGCCCCAGATGGCCACACTGGACTTTTCTACAGTGTTTCCTGTTTTGAACAGTGACTTCTCCCTCCCTGAAGTTGGGGCCTCTGGGCTCCCCTCTGTTTTTCTGGCAGCCCCTTCTCCTCGATCTGCAGTGTCAGCAGCTCCCTCTGGTGCACGCTGTGACTGCTGCCATGAGCCAAGTTCCTGCCCCTGCCCCCCCCATTCCCCTTTCTCCAGCCCTCCACGGACACAGAGCTCTCACCCCCGCTCTGCCGCACCTATGGCATCTGGGTGGGCCTCACAGGGAGTTTCTTGAGTTACAGGGAAAATGGTGTGTTCATTTGCATTTTTTCCTGGGAAAGGACCTAAAGCTTTTATTGAAAGTTTAAAACATCAACCGTGTTGGTGCCTCCTCAACTTGTCTTTGGTCCAGACCTCTCTCCTGAATTCCACAGCCATGTGTCCAGCTGCCTACTTGACATCTCACCTGAATCACCACAACCGCCTCCAACCCCACCACTCTCTCCCTCCCCAAGCCTGCTCCTCCCCCTCTGTTCGGGCGTCCATGAGATGGACACCATCCTCCTGAGTGGAGGCTGAGCACTGCCCAGACCCCGCCTCTGCCACCCCTCCTGGCCAATTGCTCACCCACATCCTGCCCATTCTACCTGCTTCCCACCTCTCCAGTGCAGGCCCACTTCCTTAACAGAGAAACTCTACCTCTCACCTGAGCTGTTAAAATAACTCCAGGCCCATTTCTCCTCCATGGCCAGGGTTTCTTTTCACAGACAGCAGGAACCTTGTGATCAAATTCACACAGAAAGTTAGAAGCTCCTGTGGATTACAGATCCCACGGCATAGGCGTTTTTAATTTTGAAAGAAAGTGGTGGAGGTGATATTAGGGGGAGGGACACGGGTAGGGTCTGAAGATTGAAATGCCTGCTCTCCATGTAGGCGGCCAGGCAGGAGGGAGGCCTGAGACGGAGCTAGAGAGCCTCAGGGAACACCCTCAGCCCGTCCCCTAGGCCAAGCTCTCCCCTTCTTGGTGCTGAATGGACCCAGCCCTGGGTGGGAAAAATGTCCTGAGATTTCTGAGGGTGCCCCACAGGCTGTCACCAGGTGCTCAGCACAGGCCCACCTGGGGCAAAGGGACACACCCACCTCAGCTTCTCCTCCAAGCTCTTCCCCGCCCCCAACCCAGGGCTCACTTGTTCGAGTTCTGATCAGGAATCGATGATGTTACCAGAAAAAGGAACCTATTGAGTAGTGGGGTACAGGGCAAGGCTGTTCAACTTCCTCTCTCAAGTTAGCTAGGTCACCGCAGGGCTCCAAGGTCTGGTGACTCACTCATCCTCACAGCCAGCATGTGGCAGCTGCTACTCACCGCAGCCCTGCTGCTTCTGGGTAAGTCAGGGTCCCCGCTGAGGGAGACACTCAGGATGTCCAGGGATCAAGCCACGGATGGGACCCTTCTCATGTCTACAGCCCTAGATTTAGCTCCTAGGACAAACCATTTAGGAGCTAGAGACGAGGGGAATGCTGGCTCTGATTTGGGCACCATCCGAAGGTGAAGGGGGACTGTGACGTCTCTGTCCTCAGTTTCCCTGTCTGTAAGTTGAAGAGTATGGAAGAGTATGTCTCTTCCATTGTGACATTCCAGGTTCCTCTTTAAGACTTTTAATCTCTACTCTTCCCAGGGGACTTGGGTTGAGGTTGTTTTTAGGCTTTCATTCAGGGAATTTCAATGCGTATCCTTAATTTGGGAGTTTGAACAGGGACCAAGGAGTAAGGGAGTGGTGCTGAAAACAGGGATTTGGGTGGATGGCAGGGAGGAGGGAAGGAAGCACAGACATTGGAGACCAGAGTGCAGGTCCCTGGACGGCTGGCCACTCTACGTATCCTGGTTCCTGGCAACACGGGCTCTGGGCCAGGGTGGGCAGGGGAGTCCAAGCTCAGCCCTCACTGCAGGCACCCGCTGTCCACTTGTGCTCAATATTTGTTTCATTCTTTTTTCCTGCAGCTTCATCAGGCACCCAAGCTGGTGAGTTTGCTTCAAGGGGTCAGACTAATCAAGTGAGGCCCGTAAGGACACTAGGCATGGGCCATGGCAACAGCGGGTAGGGGGCTTGGCTGGGGCAATTGCCCCAACACACTGGGGCTTAGCCCTATGCTTTTCTGGCCAGTTTTCCTCAACATAGAGAGAGACCAAGAATGGGGCTAACTGCCTCCAAGACAAGATGCTCTAAGACTGAGTCACAGACTAAGGCAGAGTTGCCAACTGTGGGTTTACAGGGTGGACTCTGGTGTGGAGCCCCCAGAATGCAGGGTGGGGAACGCTCATCCCCAGCCCTCACCCACATTCCCTTGTCTCCTCAGAAGATCTCCGGAAGGCTGTGGTGTCCCTGTACCCAGAATGGGACAGGCTGCTCGAGAAGGACAATGTAACTCTGAGGTGCCAGGGGACCCACACCAACAGGCATGATTCCACACGGTGGTGGCACAATGGAAACCTCCTGCCAAACCAGAACTCCAGCTATGTCATCTCATCGGCCAGAGTTAATGACAGTGGGGAGTACACATGTCAGACCAACCTCTCCAAACTCAGTGACCCGGTGCTGCTCCAAGTCCATGCTGGTGAGTGGGTGATGGGGAATAGGGGAGTCACCAATAAAGGGTGACACAAGAGGCCAGGAAAGACTGGGGGAGAGCCAGAAGGTGATGTTCTTGGGGGTTAGAACTAAGATGAGATGATCCATGGTCCCTCTGAGTAACATCAGAGGGCCCTACCACTGGAGGGCACAGTGTTAAACCTGGCATATAGCAGATACAGGACTGCTGCTCCACCCAGTACCTGAGCCCCATCCACAGAGGACACACCCAACCTGGATGGTGTGGTCTAGAGGCTGGGGCCTGACTCTGAGGCTCAATAGTATTCATTGCATAAATTAGTGGATCTGTTCTCAGGACCACCATCTCCTCTCACTCTTAGACACACAAAGCCCTAAGCTGCCCCATAACTCCCCTAATGGCGGAGTGTCATATCCCTCTCCCATCAATGCCACACTCAGACTCACAGCGTAACTGAGGCAGCATGCAGTCCTCCTAATACACACATGCCCGTTCACCTTGCATATCAACTGTGGAATTAAAGTCTTTCTTTTCTTTTTTTTAATTTATCTTTATTGTTGAAAGTATTACAGGTGTCCCATTTTCCCCCCAATTGGCCCCCTCCACCTCGCTCCCACCCTCTCCCCAGGCCTTCACCCCGTTATTGGCTGTGTCCATGGGTTACGCATATATGCATATAACTTCTTTGGTTAATCTCTTCCCACCCTCCACCCCACTTCCCTCTTTCCTCTGAAATATGATCATCTGTTACATGCGTCAATGTCTCTGGATCTATTTAGTTCATCAGATTCTTTTGTTCATTATCTTCTTCCCAAAGAAGACCCTTCAACTTTTCCTGTAGTGCTGGTCTGGTGGTGATGAACTCCTTTAGCTTTTTCTTATCTGTGAAGCTCTTTATCTGACCTTCAGTTCTAAACGACAGCTTTGCTGGGTAGAGCAATCTTGGTTGTAGTTCCATGTTTTTCATCACTTTGAATATTTCTTGCCACTCCCTTCTGGCCTGCAAGGTTTCTGTTGAGAAATCAGCTGACAGTCGTGTGGGTGCTCCCTTGTAGAAAGTCTGTATTTTCAATGGAATCCAGGCACCAGAGGCAGGTAGGGGAGAACTGGAAGCGGGGATCTCACCTGGTGTCCCTGTAACTGCACCACACGCCCGGTACTTGCCGAGTCACCTTGCAAGCCTGACTCCGGCGAGGCTGTCCCATTTGTAAAATGGACACAGGCAGAACTGGCCTGGAGGGGAAGGGGGGCTAATGCAGTGGACCTGCAACCGAGCTCCATGGAATTGGGCCCCTAAGCTGGTTTTGGTGGCTCCTGTGCAGCTGACTGTCCACTGAGCTGACCTCTCCTCCAGCACAGAGCTACGGGGGATGTCTACTGTCTAGCTAGGAGGAAAATGCCACCCAAGACCAAATAAAATGGAGATTTGCCAGCAGGCAGCAGGAGAAAAATCAATCCTGGGGGCTACTGGCTTGTCTCGAATTTGACCCTAGAGACCTGCTTCAGAAGCCTAGTCCGGGGGGACCACAACCACGGACTTCTGCAGGCGAGCCCCGATCGCCCTTTGGGACCCACTCCACTTCTCTCCTCCGAGGTACCTTCCTTTTCTTAACTTTCCTCAGGCAGAATCCCTGGGCTCCATCCTCTGGCCGCGCAGTCCTTAGATCTTAGACTGTGCAGCACTTACCACTTTCTATTGGGATTATTTCTGAGTCTAGACTACAGGCTCTTTGGGGCTCAGATGGTGTGTCCTAGTCATCTGGGTGTCCCCAGTCTGCACAACACCATACATTCTCTATAAAATACCTGTCAGATGAACACATGTGGACATTTCGATGACAGCACAGACCAGAGCAGGTGTGCTCCCCCAAGGCCACCAGACCACGTGCGTACGGTACCTAATCTTATAACCACCACGTTACGCTAATAACGATTCATCTCTGCTCACACAGCAAATGGATATATCAGCATGTGGCCTCTTTTGATAAATGATATTATTTTTAAATACATCTTTATTGATTTCAGAGAGAGGAAAGGAAAGGGGGAGAGAGAGAGAAACATCAATGATGAGAGTCATTGATCGGCTGCCTCCTGCACGCCCCCGACTGGGGATCGAGCCACAATCCAGGCCTGTGCCCTGACCGGGAATCGAACCCCGATCGCCTGGATCCTACGTCGATGCTCAACCGCTGAGCCACGCCCAGCCGGGCAGATAAATGATATTTCTTAATAAATAATGAAGGTTACCTTCTGTTTGGTCAATATTCCAGGGAGAGAATTTTCATGTGCTACCAATTTTGTTTAGCGTAAGGTACTAGATTCTTTAGAGTAAATTTTATTGTTTTGTTCTTCTTACAAAACTCATTTGGGTTTCAAAAGTACATGAAAGTAAAAGGGAAAAGACTGAAACAATCTGTTGTCCCACCTCCCAGAGAAAAATAGTTCATATTTAAAAAAGAAAGTGTACTGTCTTCCTTTTTGTCTTCTGCGCCTAGATACTTTTTGCATTCTCTTTTTGACAACATTGTCTCATAAATGTTCCTCATGTTATTTTAAAATTTGTCTGCAATTCATCTTTAATCGTTGAGGTTCACCTCCTGACCAGAGTTCACGTGCTGTCTGTGTGGAGTCTGGTCACTGAGTGAGGCAGTTGTGAGAACTGTCCCGGCTGCGTAAGAATTTTCTCTCGAAAGCTGTGCTCAGAGATAAAGATGGGCTTACAGAGGCCTGGGGCCCCTCAGAGGCTCCCGGTTCCCAGGGCACCACAGGCGCGCCTGTCTCTCTCCTCCTTGGCCTTTAGCTCTCCCCCTCGGTATCTGTAGCCACTCCTGTGCCCACCCAGGGACCACATTCCTGACTGCTGCAAGAGTCTCAACATTTCTCAGCTATCTATTCCTTCTGAAGACTACCTTTCCTTTAATGAGGCAAATCACAGTTTTCAAATGCAATTTCTACTCTGACCTGGAACATGTGGTGCTCCTGGTACCTGCCATAGCAAACCCAAGGGCAGCCTTTTGCCCTGCAGACGGCCTCTCACCTGCCTGTCACTTCGTCCCTTTGCCCCAGTCTTTGTCTGTCCCTCTCCTCTGTCAGAGAGAAGGTCTTGGTGTGCCTTGAGTTCTCACAGGCCAGGAGGCTTTTTCCAAGGGGAGCTTGTAGGAAGGGCTCCCTGTCTGCTTTTCATCTGGTGACAAGTGTCTGCTGCTCCAGTTCGTGGCACTGCTCACCAAGGCCTCCTGGGCCTGTGGTCTGTATCTTTCAGCCTGGTTGCTGCTCCAGGCCCGCCAGTGGGTGGCCCAAGAGGGGGACCCCATCAAGTTGAGGTGCCACAGCTGGAAGAACGTTCCTGTTCACAACGTCCAATATTTCCAGAACGGCAGAGGCGTGCAGTTTTCCTATCAGAATTTTGATTTCCACATTCCCAAGGCATCTGGCAAACACAACGGCTCCTACTTCTGCAGGGGGATCATCGGGACTCTTAACGTGTCTTCCGAGGCTGTGAACATCATTGTTCAAGGTGAGAGGGGTATGGGCCTGGATGACCCAGAGCCCAGGTGACTGGCTAAGCCACTGCTCTCTGAACCCCAATTTCTGTAACAAAGACAACTGACATGTGTTGGGCACCCGTCTGTGGGCTGGATGCTATGCTAAGTGCTTCATCACAGGTGCCTTGCCTGGAGATCACAGGGACCCCAACACGTGATGAGATAGGTCATGCTGGCTCCATGGTACAGATGAAAGAACTGAGGTAAAATAAAGGGGGGTAATTAATTTGCCCCGCAGGTCACACCAGAGGGTCAAAGCCTGTGTCTATTTAACCACTTGACAAAATGAAATCACCGGACAGGCACCATGTCCTATGGTGACTTTTGTCCAGTGTCAGTGGCGCACACCCCCCTCCTCGGGGCAGAGCTTCCCTCGCTACACTCAGTGCTTCTGATGTCACAAAACGTCCACCAGTAACCAGACCAAGACCACATAGCAAGACAGTGAGATACACACATACCTTCTGAGACTTTAACAAAACAAAGTCATAATCTGTATAAATATAATGCCATTACAATTTAAATTTAAAGTAAACACTCTCAGCTGGAGAGGGAAAGAGACCAGTAATAAAGCACATGGGTCAGAATGCGCACAGTTGGTAAATGCAGGGGAATGTGGGAGAGTTCTCTGTGCTATTCCAGTAACTTTTTGTCAGTTTGAAATTAAATCAAGATGAAGAGTTAAAGAACTGAAATAAAAAATTCAGTATGTTACCAGTTTGTACACAGTGGCAAGGAATGAGTTTTAAATAACAACATCAAGGACTGAGAGGCTGAAAGCCAACAAGCCCCACATCACTCCCTTTTGGGTGATTAGTTACTGGGCCTTGGTAAAGAAATAGTACCGGTTCTCTGCCAATAAGTAGCGAATTTCAGTGGTTCACCTTTTTTTCAGATTTCCTTTAGTGACAATGAACAGTGCACATGGTGTGAAAACAATGGGTAATTTTGAGACTCAAGATAAAGTCACAATTAAGGAGTAATGGTCTCACCCCAACTTAAACTTTAACAACTGCCTCAGATTCCCAGCAAGCCAACCGCCCGACTCGCC